GGGGGGGGAGTCATGAGCCATGGCCACGACTACTTAGTTACAAAGAGCTTTGTTTGAGGAAAGGGGGGGATGGGGACACACAGGCTTGGGGAGGAGAGAGAGAAAGATGGTAGGGGAGGGGGAGGGAGAAAGAACAGAGCAGAGCGAACAGAGAGAGAGGGTGGAGCCTGCATCTGGCTTTTTAAGGGCTCCCGGTATGGAGCTACACCACACATGTGCTGACTGTGTGACCACGCCGCCCACACATAGTTACCAGTGCACGCTGATGACGTTAAGATGCAAGACCTTTTGCTTAACTCCTGAACTGCACAGGTGTGGTCACACAGCTGGAGTAAGGGCAGAATTCCAACAGTTGTAAGCTGCTGATGTGGGTGCCGGGAACCGAACTCTGGACCTCTCAAGAGCAGTATATGATCTTAACCACTGAACCATCTTTTCTCTGTCTTGTTAAAACCATGTCCAGGTGTGTTCAACTTGTGGCTCAGGACAGCTATGACTGTGTCCCCAAACGGAATCATAAACTGAAACCATTTTGTGATTGATTGATTGATTGATTGATTCACTCATGTCACCCGATTGCAGGGTTCGCTAACAGGAACTTCACAGAGGACAACATGATGTCATAATGTCGGAAAGGTGGTCTAGCAATGCCTTTCGCTGGGCAGCCCAGTCTGGCCCTCCATCTTCCTGTCTCCACCTCCCGAGTACTACAATTGCAGGTGCGTCCCACCAAGCATCCCTGAAGGGTTTAAAACAGGAGAAAACTGTCCCTAGTAGAAAAGGTGTGCCTATGCACTGAGAGGCAAGGATATGAAAATTAAGACGAAGTGAGAGGGACTAGCTCAGATTTACCCATTGCCTGTGCGTGAGGAGGGCTTTCCTGGATACCAGGGACAGCAGCTTAACTACACAGAGTTCGGCATCGGCTTGTGCTGGTTAGGAAGGAACACAGCCAGGTCTCAGAGGCCACCGAGCCAGGCCCTGGAAGGCACCCGCACCGCTTTCCTCTTCAGTTCTGGACGTCCTCTGTTGGCCAGGTTAGCTCCCTACATTGTTCATCCCAGCGGGTGAGAATAAGACCACTCCCGCAATTGTGAGCCCCTTGGAAGCAAGCTTTAATCTAATACTGGCCAGGGTGAGAGACTCTGGCCAGGGTCATTCTGGGGTTCCCAGAATATGGTGAGGAGTCACATTTTGCAGAGGCTTATAAAGACAAACCTAGAAGGCTATGTATTTCCCACCAGGTCCAATCAGGGCCAAGCATACATCCTGACGTATTTCCTGCCTGCATACCTCCTGCCTATATGTGACCAATCAAGTCCATCAGATGCAGCTGGGCCAAACAAATTTGTTTAGAGGAGTGGAAACGTGTGGCTTGTTATCTCTCACAAACATTAACCTCCAGCAGTCTCGAAGTATCTCTCCTTGGGCAAGGGGGCGGCTTACAGGTTAGAGGCGGTTTTGCTTTATGGATCTCTTCCGCACAGTAACCTATGCTGGACACCTCGTGCAGCCTTGAGGCAGGGGGAGGGGCTTGGACTTGCCTCTACTGGATGTGCCTCCTCATGGGAGGCCCTTGCCTTCTTGTGGAGGGGATTGGGGGGTAGGTTGGGAGGGGGAGGATGGAAGAGGGGGATCTTTGGTGTGTAAAATGAAAAAAAAAATTCTTTTTTTTTTTTTTTTTTTTTTTTTGGTTTTTCGAGACAGGGTTTCTCTGTGTAGCTTTGCGCCTTTCCTGGAACTCACTTGGTAGCCCAGGCTGGCCTCGAACTCACAGAGATCCGCCTGGCTCTGCCTCCCGAGTGCTGGGATTAAAGGCGTGCGCCACCACGCCCGGCCCGAAAAAAAAAATTCTTAATGAAAATAAAAAATAATAAAAAAAAAAAGGAAAAGAAAACTTGAAACATAACTTTGGCCCTCACAACATCCCTCAGCAGGGGATGAAAAGAGGCTGGTGATATCATCGCCTAGCTTCAGCCCTTCACAGGGCCTCCCTCCAGTGACACACATTCCTTTTGCTTGTCTTCCAGTTTCAAAAACTCCAGGAAAGGGTCCTGGTTGGCCCTACTTGGGTGCATTAGCGTCCCAGCCAGTGGAAAGAAGGATGGAGGTGGGTCACAGATGCCCCCACAGCAGCCAGCTGGCTGGGGTCGGGGCAGTGGGCTCAGACTTCATCCTGACCGTCCTGAACGGGGCATCTTCTCAGGGTGGCCCAGCCCAGCCCAGCCCAGCCTTATCCGAGGAGGCAGCAGCGACTTTGTATGCCTGTCTTGTATCGTGGGTTTCTGAATTGACTCTCGCCGACAGTTTTGCTCCTTCCCAGGCAAACTGTGCGTTGGGTTAATCCTGGAATTCAGTCCTGGCCAGAGTGTGTGGTGGATTCGGATCTCTGCGAGGTTTATCCTAGGGAAGCTCCTCCGAGTGCAGACAGGCCTGAGAGGGTGTCTGGAGCCCACCCTTTCTGGCCCCTAAGCCGTGCCCGTCATCCGTGTCTAATGTGGCCAGCCTGGGGTTCCCTGGGGCATGATTCCATTCACATTGAAGATGGGTATTAAGTCTTTTTTCTCCAGGTCTTGTCACGAAAAACAAATGTGCCTGCTATCAAAGGCGTGGAAAGCGCCCCTTCCCGTAACAGCAGGGTCTGTGTTCAGTGGTTCAGAAGAGACGGTGGGTCCCCAAGCCTGCCAGGCAGCTCAGTCAAGGTCAACTCTGTTGATCTTTTTCAGTGATAACCCAAAAAGGATTAAGTTAACATCTGACCTTTAAAGAGTTTATCTCTGGGGAACTGAGCTAATTTTAAAATTAAACGGTTGCATTTTAAAACTATTTAGACCAAAGCCTGGGGAAGGCACGAACCCTCTGCTATGGCAGCAGAAATAGCTATAGACATTCCAAGCTGCCAGCCAGATCTGTTAGCACACGTCTGTGCGTGGAGTGGGGATCCTGGGATTAAATGAAGCAGAGCCGATGCCTGGCTCTCCCACTTTCTACCGGCCAGGCCTTGGTCAAGTTTCTTCCTTCTCTGGACTCTGGACTCTTCTTTGTAAAATAATCGTTTTGTAAGATGGTCAAAAAGACCACACGAAATAGTACTTGTTAAGCCCTGTCACTTAGGCTCGCCGTAAGTGTGTGTGTGTGTGTGTGTGTGTGTGTGTGTGTGTGTGTCCCTTCCTTCAGTCCTGGGGATGAAACACAGGCCTTCATACAGACTAGACAAACATTTTACCACTGAGTACAGCTGTTCCCTACCGTGGATCGTTTTCTTTCTCTCTTTGACAGGGTTCCAGGTATCCTAGGTTAGCTTTCTACTCAATAGGTAGCAGAAGGTGTCTTTGAACTTCTGATCCTCCTGCCTCCACCTCCCCAGTGCTGAGATTGCAGGCATGCACCACCACACGTGACTTAGGCAATGCTGGAGACCAAACCCGTGGCTTCGTGCATGCAGGGCAGGCAAGCCCATCGCCAGCTGAGGTACACCTCCAGCTCCTACAGTGGATGCTTTTGAAAATTTGCTTCACATTTCTGTAATGAAGTTTAGTTGTTTTGCACCCTTTTCCCCTCCCCCATGCTTACATTGTATCTTCTTGTGTGTGCCCCTTTGAATTTAATCAGAGTTTCCTCCAGGAGTGGGCGGGAGGATATTTACTGGAGCAGAGGCACCTTATTAGCCGCATGGGCCCCCTCCCCCATTCGTGATGAAATGCTGATGGGCCAATTCTTTTTTTGTTTTTTTCCAGATAGGGTTTCTCTGTAAAGCCCCGGCTGTCCTGGAACTCACTCTGTAGACCAGGCTGGCCTCAAACTCACAGAGATCCACCTGCCTCTGCCTCCCGAGTGCTGGGATTAAAGGCGTGCCAGTGTCTGGGTAACCTTTGCCAGTTCTCTGAAAGTTTCTTCAGTGAGCTTCCTAGCTGACACAGGAAACAACTTTGAAGGTGTTACTACTGATTTCCCCTTCCGGCACCGGCCTCTCTTCCATGGCCAACAAGACCTCTAGGTTCTGAGACGGTGCAGCTTTGGACCAGGTGTTACTAGCATGGACTCAGCAGTACCTGCATCCCAGCCCTCAGGGCCACCTGCTCCAGGTATACATCACGGGAACTCTGCTTCTGCTAAAACCGTCTTAAGAAGCGGGGTCCTGAGAACAGCGGGGACAGGATGCCCAGACAAGTTTCTACCTTTAGATTCT